AGCCCCCCGCCCGGGCCGAGGAGGGGACGGCGCAGGAGGAAGGAAGAGGCAGCGGCGGCCGCGGCGGCAGCAGCAGCAGCAATGAAGGCGTCCGCGGGACTCCCCGCCCCCCGCGCGCCGCGGCACGTGCTCGCCCGGGGACTCCCCCGCCCGGGAGGGCGCGCACGTGCGGCCCCGCCGAGCCCCGCCGGCCCCGCCGCCCCCGCCGCCCCCTCCGCCGGGCCCGGGGCTGCGCGAGGGGGAGTTCCCGCGGGGGGGAGGGGACGGAGCAGGCGGCCTGCGAGCGGGTGGCGGCGGGGCCCGGCTCGGCCGCCGCGCCTTTGCACCTGCAGGACCTCCCCACGCCCGCGCCGGCCCTCCCGGACCCGGCTGCCCGCTTCGGGCTAGCGGCCCCGGCCCTCCGGCGCTTCTGCAGCCCCGGCGGGCGAGGCGGGCCGCGCGGGGTGGGGCACGCGGACCTCCCAGCCTAGGCCCTCGGCCGCGCCGGCCCCGGTGTCCCCGCTTCCTGCCGCTCCCTGCGAGCCGAGCGATGTGGGGCGGCCCGGAGCCCCCGGGAGCCCCGAGCCCCGGGCCCGACTGACCCCCCTCCCCCGGCGGCCGCTCGCTGATTCCGAGGCAGGACAATGGGGGGCATCGCGCGTTTGCGTACCGAGTCGGCCTGGCCGGCAAGGAGGGGGCACCGGGGGCAGAGGCTGCGGGCCGGCCGCGGGGCACCCTCGCAGGGGTCACGGCCGAGCGCCCTACTCAGGCGGACCCCAGGGCCGTGCCATCGCGAGCCTCCCCCGCGCCGCGCTCGGCTCTTTCGCGTCGAAAACAAAGACTAATCCGATACCCCCGCCCTGCCTCCCAGAGGAGGGGGAACGGGCGCGTCGCGGAGGGTAACGAGGAGGACAGCGTTCAGGAGGGGCTCGGGAGCCTCCAAGGGGGCCGTGGCGCAGCCGAGCCCCATTAGCCAGTGCAGACACTTTGGAAAGTCACCCTGGGCTATTTTCCAGGCAAAGGACAAGGAGCAAGGCACAAGAATATTTCCAAGTTGCCAAACTGCCCGTTCTCGCTGCTGCTTTTTTTTCCCCCTCACCTGTTGTTCAGGCCAAGTTGAAATTCCAGGTTATATTAGTTCAACTCCACCCATCTGGCCTGACTGCCAGGCTGGTGCCCGCAGCTGCCTTCCACCTACCTGGGTTGCTGGGGAGAAGGGTGGGTCTCTAACACACACACACACACACACACACACACACACACACACACACACACACACACACACACTTGCGCGCGGGCAAGTCCTGGCAGAAACAACCATGGGGCGGACTGGCCTGACCAGTTTGGGCGGTGCTCAGGGAGCCAGGTGCCTGGCAATCATCCCCGACCCGCTGAAGCTAGCAACTCAGCCAGAACTGGAAAAAGAGCATTCGGCGGGCTATTTAGAAGAAACAAAAAAAGTAACTGATCTCAAGTAGCGCTGTCCAGAAAGCCCTAGACTGGAGGAAAAGCCGGGGTTCTGCATGGAACTTCCCTCCTCGCACGCAGGCCTTTTTCGGACACCCTGCACCACTGGCCAGGTTGTCAGCTGTGGGTGGGTGGGGAACATGGCTGCAAGACCTAGTTCCTACCCGGGTGTTTGAGAGGACTAAAGAGTTTCTGTTCAGGGAAGTAAGTCTAGAACTGAAAAGAGATACTTGGTGTAATTTTCAATCAAACAGAAGAACAGGTTGTGGACTTGAAATTGTCGATGTTTTAAATGATTTCATTTTAATAAAAGTTATACATATTAGAGAAAATGTAGAATACACAGAGAATTAGAAGACAAACATCACCCAAATACAACCACATTTAACCATATGCTATATTTCCTTCTAGCCTTTTTTTTTCTTCTAGCCTTTTCTATTTGTAGATTAGTTGCCCTTTTTCATTTTTTAATAACATGATTGTATCCACTCTGCAATCTGCGGCCCTCTTTTCACTTAACATTATACCATAAGCATTTCCCTGTTTGTTACACAATCTAGTGTGACAATGGGGTGAAGAATGTGGCTTAGGGACAGCGAATTCTGGGTTCCAGACCCCACTGTGGTATTTATTAGCAGAGTGACCTTGGACAAGGTACCATCTCTGAGAGAATCCAAGTTCTTGGCCAAGGGCTTTTGGAACAATGCTACCTCAAATCAGTTCCTTCTTTTTTTCTTCATAGGGCATAATAAATGAGAACAGCTATTGTATCTGTATCCGTAGAACAACCAAGTGAGGTAGGTGGTATCACTAAACTCATTTTACAGATAAACAGAAAGATTAACTTGCCCAAGGTCACTCAGCTAGTAAATGGTAGATTCAGAATTTAAGGCCGGCACCTTTCCTTCTGTATTCAGAGCAATTTACTGTGCCAAAGTAGTTTCCACCAGCTACCTATGAGGGGGTTGTTTCACAGAATCCTCTGACTTGGGGACACTTAGGTGACTCAGTGGTTGAGCATCTGCCTTCTGATCACGTTGAGATCCCAGGGTCGTGGGATCAAGTCCCACATCAGGCTTCCCACAGGGAGCCTGCTTCTCCCTCTGCCTATATCTCTTTCTCTGTGTGTCTCTCATGAATAAATAAATAAAATCTTAAAAAAAAATCCTCTGGCTTAGCTAGCTAGGTGGATGCTGGTACCATTCACCAAGACAGAGTGCAGGAGGAGAGAGTTACAGAGCCATCCATGTAGAATTGAGGAGGTGAAGCCTGGGCTGGAAACACACATGGGCCCCATTGCAAAGCACAGTCTAAGTGAGGCCCCAGGTGTGGAGGAGCGCATTGGTAGTGGACACGCAGAATGAGAGGCAAAGGCAGCCAGTACAGAGGCCCAGGGAACACCAGCTCCTAAGGGACAGCAGCTGACAAGGGGCCAGCCAAAGAGACTGAGAAGGAGCAGCCAGAGAGGTGGGAGGGAAACCAGGCCCAGCCCGACACCTGCCTGTTTTTCCCAACTGCTTCTCCCTCTGGAACCCGAACTTCGGCAGTCTCATCTGCTCATTCCTTGTACCTAGGGAAACCCCTTCCCACTTCACACCCCCTTCCCGCTTCCAGCTGCTCCTCCTACCTGCCAAATTCCCACTCATCCTGCAAGTCTCAGAATAAATGCCAGTCCTTCCATAAAACTTCTTCCAGACCCTCGGATTCCAAAGCCTCACCTCTCCCGCCCCCCCACCCCAAAGTTTAATGCACCCTCTCTTTGCAACAGTTATCTTATCAGCATTTTAAGTGTTTGCACATTTCCCTCCCCATTACTATGAGCTCCTGGAGGGCCGGAACCTTGTCTTTTCACCTTTGTAATCCTAGACCTAGCACTCGATCAATATGTGTCGAATGAGGAAAGGAGGTCAGTAGAACCTGATCAATGACGTATCCCAGTGACACCAAAGACCCATGGGTTTCCAAGGGTTTTTTCCAGTGGGCCTTCTTGGGTCTGCAGCCTCCCGCGCTACCGGGTTACTCCTTCCTCACACACCACTCGAGTTGGAACAGCTGGGACGGTGGTGGTGCCCAGCGAGCGGCTCTGTCTGGCAGCAGCAGCATTAAGCTAGAGGCAGTGGTTCGCTAACACTGGTCCCCAAGCGCAGCATCACCAACACCTGGGAACTTGTTAGAAATGCAAACTCTCCGCCCCACCCTAAACCTACTCAAGCAGAAATGGGGTGGGGCCCAGCGCTGAGTTTTAACAAGCCCTTCGGGTGATGCCCGCTGAAGTTTGAGAAGCACTGGACTTTTGGAAGCAGTCGAGAAGCAAGTTCAGCACCCAGGCAGCGGCCAGGATCAGGCCTGAGGCGCTTAGAGGAGGTAGACCTAGAGACGCGCCTTTTATTAATTGGCGTGGCGGGCTCCACCCCCAGCGACCGACGACTGAGCCTTTTTAGGCCACTGCTCCGGTGAGGTCAGGACCTGGCTGCTGCAGCTGCCCCAAGGGTTAGAAAGGGAAATCCCGTTGCGAAGGAAACAAGCCCAGTGGACTGCAGGCACTGCAGGGTTGGCAGGGGGCGTTTCCCTGGTTGGGGATGGAGGTGGGGCTGACTTCCAGCTCCACTGAGGAATTGCGGTTGATTCAGCACCCGGCCAAGAGCACAGGAAGTTGTGTTGGATGTGCCCGTGTGGTTCTTCTGGAAGTCACTTCGTGGAATCAACACTGCTGGTTGTTTGTGGAACCTGCAAATGATCGCATGTGACTAATGTCCTCTGAGATGCTCGACCCTGCTCCTTCTCTTTAGCTAATAAGCAGTTTGCCCTGTTTGAAGGAGCTTTGTACTATGGAACGTTTTCCAGAAATGTAAATACACACCCATGTGCACGCCTGGGCTTGGTTTTAAAGATTGAAGGCATTGGGAAGTTTGATTGGGGATGTGTTTCTTCTCTGGTCATGTATTGGTTAAAAATATTATCAGCTAATGTTTGCATAGAGCTTTCCCTTTTCAAAGCACTTCCACATACATTATTATCGTTCTGTCTGCAGAGTGATAATACGGCAAGTGCAAATGTTACTTTCCTTTTCTTTCGGTGACATGGCTTTTATTATTATCACCATTTTACAGATAAAGGAACTGGGATTCTGAGAGGTAATGTGTCCAAGGTCACTTACTACCAGGTGGCACAAATGGGCCTACAATCTAGGACCTCTGAAATTTGCCTACCAGGGTCAGGGCTGATAGGGGGCAGAAGCTGACATTTTGCTCATGGGGAAAGGGAGATTCATCAGTGGATTCCTTTTGGACATGCATTGGTTACTAGGACGTGTAGGGTATCTAGACTACATTTTTGAGTAGCTCAGCAAAAGCTTTCATGTTTTATTTCTGTGACTTTATTTTGAATTTAGAGTGAATCAAAATGACTATATAACTTAGAAGGAGAATGCAAGGTCCCCACCATAATAGGAAATCTTCCAACCCTCCTTGGGCAGGAGGGTGGGAACTTTGATGGACTTCAAGACTCAGGTTGCTGAATACCCAAGAGGGATAAAGGCTTTGGTGTCCCCCACCCACACCTTGATTTGACCAGATATAACAGGATCAGTTAGGTTTCACTGTAATAACAAACTATCCCCAGGTCTCAGTGGTTTGACCAAAAGTTTATTTCTCAATCGTGAAATATGTCCATTGGGGGTCAGCAGCAGCTCTGTTGTCCATGGTGACACAGGCAGCTCCAACTGGACATGTTGCCTCCTCAACCCTGAAGGCAGGAAATGAGGATGAGGCAAACCAAGCACTAATTCTCAAAGTTTTGACCTAGGAATAATTCATGTCATTTCCACTCTGATTTCACTAGCAAGTCACAAGGTGGCAAGGAAGTGTAGTAGGAGCAATGCTCCCATGAACCTGGAGAAGGAAACGTATTTGGTTAACAGTGCTAATAACACATAGGGAATAGTGTCAGCAGGTGAGGTGGATGTGGGTACCAGAGGCATAAGTGCAATCAGTTCCACCCATTTCATGAGTGCTTCTCCCTCCTGAGGACATGTATTTGAGATTCCCATTCTATTGGGTTGTCGTTTCTCCCACTAGAGAAGATTCAGATATTTAGACCCAGGCAAAAGAAATCTGAGCTGAGGGAAGTATGATGGCAAAGATGAGTGGCAGTGGGGCAAGCTCAGTAGAAATTAATTTGTAAATTGAGTATCCAGCAGAGGAAAGGACTCGGGGCATAAGTGTCACCAGGGGCCTGTCTGCTTAAGAGGAAAGTTCTAAAGCTATGACAGAAGCATTTCCTGCCTTCTCGCCATTCACTCCCACTCATCCTTCCTGGCTACACTCAGGTGACAACTCAGGAAGCCTTTGATGGTCTCTCAAGACTGAACCTGCCCATCACATTCTTAAGAGTACATTGTTAAGAGTGTCTAGGTCTGCCATGTTTACTATGCTGCAGAAAGAGACCACATCTTGCTCAGTGCTTGCTGTGGTACCGGGAATGTATTGGAGTCTCAGCATGAAGGCAGAGAAACCAGCAGGAAGGCTGTTATAGGAACCCAGGTGAGAAAAAAATGATGGTGGTCTCCATTACAGTTGTGAGGAGGGGAGGGAGAGAAGTACTAGAGAGAGATTTAGGGAGCCATATCAACAGGGTAGGGATCAATTACATGAGGGCATATGGAGGAGGTTTCTGGAAGAACAACAGGGTAGATGGTAGCACCAGAGGAAGATCAAGTGGCTGAATGAGGTTACCAAGGACATGTCCATTTAAGGTGCATATGAGACATCCCCAACAAGACCCAAGAAGCAGCATATATGGAGACCTGAGGTTCTGGGGTGAAACTGGCTGGACCACGATCCTATGATTTACCTAGTAGTTGAACATCAAATCCTCCAACAAGGTCAGCCTTTTGTTGTTGTCATTGTTGTTGTTGTTAGAGAGAGAGAGAGAGAGAGAAAGGTCAAGCAAAGGGAGAGGGGTAGAGAGAGAGGGAGAGAGAGAATGTTAAGCCCCTGTGCAGGGCTCAATCTCACAACCTGGAGATCACGATCTGAGCTGAAATCAAGAGTTGAATGCTTAACTCACAGAGCCACCAAGGCACCACAAAGTCAGCCTTTCTAAAAGGAACTTAACTGATAGGGGTGCCTGTAGCTCTGTAGGTTTGGGCATCTGTCTTCTGCTCAGGTCATGATCCTGGGGTCCTCGGATTGAGCCCCACTTTTGGCTCTCTGCTCTGTGAGAAACTTGCTTCTCCCTCTCCCTCTGCCCCTCCTCCTGCTTGTGTGTGCGCTCTCTCTCTCTCTCTCTAATAAATAAAATCTTTTTTAAAAAACAAAATTAAAAGGAACATGTGAACGTAAAGTGGAGAATTGGGGAGAGGAAAGCACAGAAAATAACGTGTAGTATAAAAATCATGAAATTCCTGAGCTGCAAATCTTAAGAATTCAGCCAGAGCAGTACAAGGGCTTTCTAAAAAGAGTCAAGTGTCCCTACTAGATGGCTTCAACTTTAACCTGTTTGTCCCATGACCTTGTTTTCATATGCTGCTCACATTCCATCTCTACTCAGCAGGAGCTTGCTTGCTGTCCCATCTGAGATCTGAACTTGATTTCAACCCCTTTCATTCTTGAGGTTCCACTTCCCCATATCCTTTATGGGTGAGGGTCAAACCCCATTTGCAGGAACTGTGTAGGGCAGGCAAACCAATCCTCAGAGCCCCTACCAGATCCCATCACTCCACTTGGCCATTGTGCATCCCCCTCCCCCCACACACTCTTCCCTTTCCCCCAAAATTGAGATGCTCCCTCTGGGTGCCTGGGCTCCATTTCCAGCTCCTCTGCGTACTGGTTTGTGACTGTGGGCGAGGTAATTCCCCTCTCCCAGCCTCCTTCCCATCTGTCAAAATGCTACTTAGGCTACCTCCTTTGCAGATTCCTTTGCAGAGAATCAAATGAGCCTTGCTATGGCAATGTTCTATCTCGGACATTGGTGTGTAGTAGGGACTCAAATGGTCCCCTCTTTCCTTTTTTTTCTATAAAGATTTTATTTATTTATTCATGAGAGGCACAGAGAGAGAGGCAGAGACACAGGCAGAGGGAGAAGCAGGCTTCATGCAGGGAGCCTGATGCAGGACTCGATCCCGGGACTCCAGGATCACGCCCTGGGCTGAAGGCAGGAGCTAAACCGCTGAGCCACCCAGGGATCCCCAGGTCCCCTCTTTCCATTCCATCCGATCCCTTGGTTCCTCTTTCCCCTTCAGGGAGAAAGGGTCTTACAGTATTTTAACCATATGTAGCCATGACAACCAGAATTAAAATTTATACAATAATCAGTGAGGATATTATGTATTACTTAAGAGAATGGAGGTAATGATGTGCAGGTGCCCAGGATGAGACTCGGCACTGAGCAGGAGAGTCTCAGTCTCCTCAGCTGGAGACAGCAGTTCTCCAAACACATCCTTCCCTACACATTCAAGCAGCCCTAGGGCCTGCCACCTCCACTCTAAACCATCCTGAACTGGTGCCCTCTCTCAGCCTTCTAGTGGCTACCCGGTTCTCACTCCTGCTTACCTCCCTGCCCTCACCCTGCAGCCTCCTTCTTCATACACATGGATCACATTGCCTTGGATTCAGACCCCCTGGATCCACTTGTTCCAACCAGAGCCTTAGAATTGAAAAGGCCAAGTGCCTGGGACATCATCCTGCAGCCAATCAGGAAAAGAAGTTTAAAACTCTTGCCACTCCAAGTATGATCTGTGGACCTAGAGCATCAGGACCACTGAGGGTTTGTAGGGGTGTAGAACCCAGTGGGCCCCAGAGCTGCTGAATCAATATGTGCCTCCTAGCAAGACTTCCAGGTGATTCCTAGGCACCCTACAAACTGAGAAGCTCTGCTTTTGAAGTCTTACAGGATAAATGGGCTAGAGATTTTTTAAAAAAGGATGCAGTCTTTTTGTATGGAGCAGGAGAGGCGTTCTTGGGAACACCTGCGCTAATGGATTGAGTCATCCGAGGTCAGTCTGGCATCGTTCCTGGGGAGGTAGTCCGTATTGCCAACACTGTACTATTCATCTGCGGAGTCAGGGAGCATGAGCTGAGCTGATGCCTCCGTCTTCTTGCCATTCTTTAGGGGTGTCCTAATGGAGACATGACTAGGGCCATGACCCACATCCACCTGTCACTTGGCTATTTCGGACCACAATAAAACATGAATTTTATTTATGAGAGATAGAGAGAGAGGCAGAGACACAGGCATAGGGATAAGCAGACTCCCCATGGGGAACCAGATGTGGGACTCGATCCTGAGACCCTGGGATCATGACCTGAGCCAAATGCAGACACTTAACTGACTGAGCCACCTAGCTGCCCAATGTTAATTATTATTAAAGTCAACCATATCTTCAAAAATCTCCTATGTTTTGGGGCACCTGGGTGGCTCAGTCAGTGAAGCGATCTACTCTTGGTTTCAGCTCAGGTCCTGATCTTAGGGTCATGAGTTCAAGCGCTGCGGCGGGCTCCGGGCTGTTTTGAGTCTGCTTACAACTCTCCCTCTACCTCTGCCCCAGCTCTCTAAAATAAATAAATACATCTTAAATATGTCTTTTATGTTTTAATATTAAAGTATTTTTGAAAAATATTTGACATTGGAAAACATTTACAAAATATGAAATTGAAAAAATAATTAGGATGTATTATATTATCAAAACTTTGTAAGTAATTATGCAAAGATTGGAAGAGAATACATCACAACATTAACAATGGATCTCCTGATGATTTTTGTTTTCTTCTTCATACCTTTCTTCTAAAATTTCTACAAATAAGTATTATTCCTATAATTGAGAAATAAAAAATTATTTTTGAAAAAAGACAAACGGAAAGCAGTTCCTTGAGAAAGAAGGAAGCAAATTCTGATTACCAACAGAATGATTGCAGCTTTGCACATTGCAGCCACCTGGAGAACTCTAGGAATACTGGTGCCCAGGCCCCACACCCAGAGATTATGTTTGAATGGATCTGGGTGGGGACCCCAAGCCTCATGTGCTTGGCAACATCTAGCCACACTTGGGTGTGGTCTAATGTGCTGCCGGGCTGGGAACCGCCGCTTGCCCAAGCCATCTCACTTTCCAGCAGAAGTTTAGGCCGCTGTCTGGTGGTGGAGGAACTACAAGACCTGATTTCAGGCTTCATCAGTGAGTGATCCTCTGTAGCTGTGTGATTCAGGGAAGCCATCTAACCGAACCTTAGTTTGTCCGTAAAATGGGAATATTTAATGCCTACTGCAAGAGTTGGGGCATGGCTTCCAGGAGAGGATAAATGAGAAAGGTCTGTGTGAAATAGAAATCATATAGAATGAGTTCTTTGTTAGAACCTGGAAACTCAGATGATAACAATTATCTTTGATCAATGAAATATCCTTGGCAACACGAGAACCCATGCAAATAAGCAGGTTTGTTTCTAGGCTCTGTCAGTCTTGTAATTTGACTTGATTTGGAGATTCTGTAGGCAGGTGCTGTCAGATGTGGATGCCCAGGACAGTCCTAGCCTGAGGGCTCATGGCCAGTGGATAGCAGCCAATAGATCTGAGCTGTTCAGACCATTTGGTCATCTTGCTTTGAGAGGTGGCTGGTTTCCAGAAGCCCAAACGTTGTTGTCATGAAAATGTGCCTTTGCATTTTAAATACATTCTGCTTCCAAAGACATGTTCTTACTTAACCATCTCCTTGGGAGGTTGTGACCACTGCTTAAAATGTCTTGGGAATTCCTCTTTTGAGATTGCCTTTGTCTAAGCTACATTTCTTTTCTGGGTAGTTTCAATCAGTGAATTCATTCTCTATCCTTTGAAGAGGAGCTTAATTTTAGAAAACAGTCGAAAATATCTTTCAGAATCAATTTTTTTAAAGATTTTATTTATTTATTCATGAGAGACACAGAAAGAGAGAGGCAGAGACGCACGCAGAGGGAGAAGCAGGCTCCATGCAGGGAGCCCGACATGGGACTTGATCCTGGGTCTCCAGGATCACGCCCTGGGCCGAAGGCAAATGCTCAACCGCTGAGCCACCCAGGCATCCTAACCATGAATTTGAGGGATGCCTGGATGGCTCAGTGGTTAACTGCCTGCCTTCAGCTCAGGGCGTGATCCTGGAGACCCGGGATCAAGTCCCATGTCGGGCTCCCTGCATGGAGCCTGCTTCTCTCTCTGCCTGTGTCTCTGCCTCTCTCTCTCTCTGTATCTCTCATGACTAAATAAATAAAATCTTTTTTAAAAACCCCAAATGTGATGATTAAGATGGTATTCAAACCTAGATAAGACATACATTTTTTTTTTTAAGTGAAGAGGTCATTCATTAAGTATGCCTGCCTTGCTACCCAGTTTACTCCCAGCATCCCGCACGGTGCCTGGGACCCATATCTCAACATATTCCTGTTGAATGGTGAACAGAGCCTGGCTTTCTACTGGGACCCATAGACTGGCTCCAAAGTAAGTCTGAAAAGGCATTGTACCGAAGTAGCCTATTTGGGATTAATAAATTCTAGTTTGTATGCTGATTAGAAATTAGTCCCTTACTTTGGTAAGTGTGGTAGGTATATATATATATATATATATATATATATATATATATATATATATGTTTGACTAAAGAGAAAAAGTTGCAGTTCCTTTCTCTCACTGGGGTAATACTGGATTTAGTTTCCAAAGGCAACACTAATCAGTGACAAATCCAAGCATTTTTGGAATTATTTTTCATGCCCACCCAATCCACAAAACAACTAATCAGGTATTCTTAACAAGGACAATGACTGAAACAAAACTCACTTTTTCATACAAGGATTTCAAGACACCCACTGGCAGGTGACAGAGAGGAAAGCAAGGTCTTGCTCAGGTAGTGGGAAGACTTTCACCGCAGAGCCAGTCTCAGCTGAGGCAAGTCGCTGCTCTGAAGGAGAAAGAAAGCCAAAGCCAAAGCTCAACTGCTTCTGGCAATGGAACCGTTTCCAGGAAGAGAACACACGGGTCATCTGAGGTCAAGTTCAGGGCACACAGCCAGCCGCCAGGCGGGAAGGAAGCTGCAGTGAATGCCTGCTTGCTTGCTCTCCAAGCCCTTTACCTTCTGAACAGGAGTCCTGTATCAGCACCCCTGCCAGGCCTCTCGGAGGACCTCAGAGGCTCGTTCCTGACCCAGGCATCCTGGCTCTGGCCTCACAGACACGCAGAGGTGCTGAGGGGAGGCTGGTAGGAGGCAGTGTGTGCGGCAATGGCTCGCTGGCCTGTGCTGTTGTTGCCTTGCAGAGAAGAGGGGCCCGAGCACTCTACTTAAAGTACATGAGCATTCCGCATCCACAGTTGCCCTCCCCACCCCCAGGATGCACAGGACACATTCCTAGCTCCTTGCCTTGGTCCATGGCGTTAACTCCACAGTCATTGTCATCCCAGCTTCTGTTCTACAGACCCTCCTCCTTGGAGTGCCCAGCTCCTGTGCTCTGTGACCCACCACAGTTCCCTTAGCTGGAAGCAGCACCTGTTACCGTCTGTCTTGCATCACGCTTAGGGACACGTCATCTCTCCCCATTTGGGACCACACTGTACCCACTCTTCACACCACACATAATCCTTCCTTTGCCCACACTGCTTAGCTGCTGGGTCTGTCCTCACCATTCTGCCTCCCATCATGTTCCTCACCTCACCGCCCAAGGCTCAGCTCAGCTAGACTCTCTGAAGGACTTTCCACCCACACAGACCTACCAGCTCCACTTACCAAGTGGCTACTCTGTGCCCAAACATTTGTCTACAGTATTTCTAATCCTGGAACAGCCCTATGAAGTGGGATCAAAGATAGTTTCACTTTTGGACTTAAAATTGAGGCTCAGAGAGGTTCAGGAACTTGTCAGAGTTGCAGAGCCAGTCAGTGGCCCAACTGGGACTGGACCCCAGGTGTGATACCTAAGCCCAGGCCCTCCATCTCTTCCATGCTACTTTTTCATTCATAAGGCAAATATTATGAACTTGAGGCTATAAGATGTTTTGAAGATCATCTTGTTTTCACAGCAAGGGACCTAAGGAGTAGAGAGGCCTGATAACTTGCCCAGGGTAAGACAGCTTCTCTCCACCCCCTTTCCTCATCCTTCCCATGTGCTGGAGTGGGGACCCAGGAACCATCTATCCCCTGTGAGGGGTTACCAGCCAGGTAACATTCTCCAAGGTTTCTAGTTGCACGGTTTCTGACACTTGCCTGCCCTGCGAGCAGGGCCCCAGAGAAGGCAAGAGAGAATGTCACAGCAAGCTTAGAGCCACTGCATTATCCGTTCAGCTATATACAATGATAAAACCCCAAATAACAGTGACTTAGGTTTGTATCTCTTTTCTGTAGAAGTCTGAGGGCAATCTGGGGAAATTTTATCCAGGTAGGGCCTGGGGCCTCTTCTGTCTTCTGCAATTTCCTCCTCATGGGGCCCTGCATGGTCCCCAGTGGCCCCAGGATCACCTGACGGGGGGGATCTGAGAGCAGACTCAAAGAACTCTTTGACTTGTACCATTCATGCTGAAGAGGCTGCTCAGAGCCTGGCAGAGAGCTGGTCTGGCACCTGGTGAGATGTAGTATGTTGCTAGCAGCATAAAGGGATTGGAATGTGGGGATATTTCATTGCTTAGTTCAGGGACTCTTCACAAGCTCAGCCTACTTCTCTTCTCCCCTTCTTCCTTCTTTCCTTTTGTTTAATAGTGATTGAGCTGTGCATTCCTATGTGCCAGGCCCTGAAGATACAAAGACAGATAGGATGCATTCTGTGATCTAATAAAGAGACAAGGAAATGGACCATTTTAATGCTATAGTGGCAGAGGAAACCGTAAGATCCATGCAACAGGAGCACACAGGCAGGGCATCTAGACCAGTTTCCTGAAGAGGGTGCTTGCTGATAAGACAGAGCTGAGAAACATTAGGGGGAATTGCTAGCTCCCAATGATCACCCAGATATTGAGGATGAGTGAGAGGGAGGAGTCAGACGCCCCCAGTTTTCTAGCTGCAGTGGGGGGAGGGGTGATGGGGCCACGATGGATGCAGAGAACACAGGCCTTCTCCCACGATGGTGTTCTCTTGCCTGGGGAATACCCTCAGCTTCAGATGAGGCTGCCACCTCCCCCGTACTACTCTCTTCCATTGCTGTTCCCAAAGACATGCACATGGGCCCTTTCCACTGTAAGGGTTTTCATTCAAGTGTTCTCGGGAGATGAAGTCCCCTTGATCCTGGTCTAATGAATCACATGCAGGAGCGTGGTCTGTACTAAGTATCCTCCAAGCCAGACTAAGCTGATTTCACAAGTGTCACCTGGGCCCGCTGTGCCCAGTGTTAAGCTCAGGCTCTAGAAAACCCACCTGTAGTGAACATCTGCCAAGTTGTGGGGAACCAGTGAATGGATCCTCTTCCCATGTTCGGGGACTTTCCCACTGTGGTGGGAGGCAGAGCCAGCCTCTCACGGTGAAGATGAAAAGTCAGATACCGGGATCCCTGGGTGGTGCAGCAGTTTGGCGCCTGCCTTTGGCCCAGGGCGCGATCCTGGAGACCCGGGATCGAATCCCATGTCGGGCTCCCGGTGCATGGAGCCTGCTTCTCCCTCTGCCTATGTCTCTGCCTCTCTCTCTCTCTGTGTGTGTGTGACTATCATAAAATAAAAAATAAAAAATTAAAAAAAAAAAAAAAAGAAAATCAGATACCGTCTCTCTCAGATTTCCTTGCAGCTACTACCTGGCGTGTCCAAGGCATGTGGCTGAGACTGCAACTAAGATATACCTACCAGAGTCTCAGGTCAGTGAGGAACTTCTTGTGGCAGGAGGAGTTACAGGGGGATCACATTCTCCCAATAGCCATGCCGGGCACTCTGGAACCTTGCAAATGACAACCTTGAAGCCTGAGCTTCATTAGGTCCATAGTAACTGCCTTCTATTTGCAGTTAAGGACCATGATGAGGGATCCCTGGGTGGCGCAGCGGTTTGGCGCCTGCCTTTGGCCCAGGGCGCGATCCTGGAGACCCCGGATCGAATCCCACGTCGGGCTCCCGGTGTATGGAGCCTGCTTCTCCCTCTGCCTGTGTCTCTGCCTCTCTCTCTCTCACTGTGTGCCTATCATAAATAAATAAAACAAAAAAATTAAAAAAAAAAAAAAAGAAATTTAAAAAAAAAAAAAAAAAAAAAAGAGACCATGATGATTTCTTGGCAGTTTCTCAGTCCAGCGAGGTACATTGCTGAAGGGAGCACAAACTTTTTTCAGAGGACAGTGAGTAAAACCATTTAGCTAGAACAGAGGATTCTTTCACAGAGTAGAAGATAAGGTTGGAGGATCCCAAAAACCCAGTTAAAGAAGAGTCTGGTCATCACTTTGTAAGAGGCACCAACATTTTTTAAATAAACTTTTATTTTGGAATAATTTTTAAAAAAATATAAAAAAAATAAAAAATAAAATAAAAAATAAAAAATACACTCTATGCCCAATGTGGGGCTTGAACCCACAACCCAGAGATCAAGAGTCACATGATCTACTGACTGGGTCAGCCAGGTGCCCATTTTGAAATAATTTTAGATTTACAGAAAAATTGTAAAGATAGTACAGAGCGTTTCCATATATGCCTCACTCAGTTTCCCCTGATGCTAACATCTTGCATTGTATGCTACATTTGTCAAAACTAAGAAGTTGACACTGGTATATTACTATTTACTAAACTCCAGGCTTGATATAGAGTCCACTAGTTTTTCCACTAATGTCCTTTTTCTATTCCAGGATCCGATCCAGGATACCACTTTGCATTTAGATGCCAATCTTTTTAAAGGAGAACATTAAATATGATTAAAAGCTGTTTTAGGAGAATCATCTGAGAGCAACAACCAGGTTGGACCAGGAAGGTGGGTAGCAAGGCATTTGTAAAGGCATTCCAGAATCTTCGCTGAATTTCCAAATGCACCTTAATGCCTGGTGCTAAAGGGACTCACCAGTTGGAGGTGCCATTGCCAGGAAGACAAGATCTGGGCCACTGGAAGCATGTCTGCCTGCTCAGGGCCCACAGGGGCCGAAGGCATCTTTAGGATGCTCCTGGGGGCCTCCACCTAGCAGCGTTAGTAAGCTAGCAGTTCTTCCTGCCCGGGCAACCAGCATGGACTGATAAATCTAAATAGGGAGCCAAAGAAATGCATGCTTATCTTCTTTTCTGAAAGTTTAGTCTTGTCTTCCTCAACAAGCAGCTTGTTGTGGAACGAGAACAGACTCAGGAATCAGGAGGGACCTGGGTTTGAGTCCCAGCTCCACCACTTACTTCAGGAGCCTGGGTGAGTTCCTCAACTCCCCTTGGGCTTCAATTTCCTCACTGGTAAAAAACTGGGATCTTAAATCTTCTTTATAAGATTACAGAGAGGATGAAATAACATTCACAGTGTTCAGTAGGGTATCTGGCATACAGTAGGCATTCAATAATCATCAGCTCCCTTGACAACTTGAGGGTGGGATCTGGGCTCATAATTTTTTTGCTTATCCTTGTAATGCTTAGCACATAGGAGGCACTTCAAAATTTGGTGATTTCATTATGGAGCTCACAAACCCAATGACCCCACAAAAGGCTGATCATGTCTCTAGTTACATCATTCATTTATTTAGCAAGTCTATATTGGGCATTCACCAAATAGCAGTAAACAGATAAAAGCCAGGCACTGTGCTAAGTGACCAAGACACTGTGTGTCAAAAATGGCAAAGCCCAGGCAGGGAGAGAGGTCTTCAGACAACGTTCACTCAGGTCTGATACAGAGTTGGACACAGTTAATAACAAGCAGTGTGTCCAAGAGCAGAAACACTGGCTCCTTCTGTTGGGGGGAAGTGTAGAGCCTCACAGAGGAGGAGACTTGGGACTGGCAGAATCAGTAGTTCTTTCAGGAAAAAAAGGTGGGAGAAGATGAGAAAGTAGCATTTCAATCTGTGGGAAACACAAGAGGTCTTCTGGAACCATAGGTAGGCTTGTGGGGTTTATGGTAAGAGTAGTGACAGGTGAGGTTATATGAACACGGCATCTCTAATACTCCAGAAAGGACTGAGGGGCAGTCATCTGGTGGCAGGGGCTAGCAGAAGACCTGACTCGAAGCTGTGCTTACATAGAGTAACCACAATTTTTTTGTAAGGTAGTGTCCCCCTTATCTGATGGGGATACATTCCAAGACCCCCATGGAAGTCTGAAACCACAGGTAGTACCAAACCCTAAAAATACTAGATTTACTCCTACACCTACATACCTATGATAAAGTTTAATTTATAAAGTAGGCGCGGTAAGAGATTAACAATAATAACAAAATAAGACAGTTGTAACAGTATCCTATAAGTTTCATGAATGTGCTCTCTTAAATATCTTTTTTTTTAAGATTTTATTTATTTGAGAGGGAGGGAGGAAAGGTTGGAGAAAGAGAGAGAGAGGGAGAGGCAGAGGGAGAGGAAGAACCAAGCTCCCTGCCAAGCAAGGAGCCTGATGTGGGACTCAATCCCAGGACCTTGGGATCATGACCTGAGTGGAAGGCGCTGCTTAACTGACTGAACCACCCAGGTGTTCCTCTCTCAAAATAACTAATTTTGAGAAGGGTGCTGTGCTCACCCTTCTTCTTGTGATGCTGTGAGATGATAAAATGTCCAGGTGATGAGATGAAGTGAGGGGAATGATGTAGGCACCGTGAGGTAGCATTAGGCTACTATGGACTTTCCCCACAATCCATCAGGAGGATTATCTGCTTCCAAACCATGACTGACTGCTGGTAACTGAGACTGTGGGAAGTGAAACCACAGACAAGGGGGTAAGACTGCACATGGTTGAATTGAGGTGGCTTGGAGATAAGATGATTGCCAATGGTAGTACCGGGCAGGCAGGGCAGGGAGTAGGCACCATAGCCACTCCTGGCACAGCCATGCTAGGAAGGGAACCATGTGACTGCTATGAAAGAGGAAGTGGGGTCAGGGAATTTGGAGGATTTGACTGCAAGGTCCACTACATACCTTCAGCTGGAGAAGCAGACACTGAGGTGCAGGGAAGATTTGAGAGCTTTTAGGGAGGAACAACCAGAATTTGGCGAGAAAGGGTGTATACAGGAAGAGAGCTAGAGGATGAGGATGACTCCACAGCTTCTAGCTTCTAATGTGGTCACCCAGGTGAATGAAGGAGAAGCTGGAGAAACAGGCTTAGTTGCCCTAGGGTGGGGGTGGGGTTAAGAACTGTTTTTTGCACACACTGAGCAGAAGATAGCCAAGTAATGATACGCAGAGATCCAGATGGAGCTAGCTTTAAGTCATCCTCCTGTCTGGGATTTGCTTCCAAGCAATCTGAGAGTGGTGGGTTAGCCATAGGTGACACAAAAATGGCTCTGAATAGATAACCAAAGTCAGTGAGAACATAAAAATTAGTTCAGACTAAGAAAACCAAAGCTGTCTGGCCATTCATCAGGCTGGGAGGACAGACCCTCAGTAAGGCCAGCAACAAAGTTACCGTGAAACAATATTCCTCCCAAGGGCACACTGCAGCCGAAGTGTCATAACCATCCCCATCTTTGCGTGACAGCTTTCTGACCCACTGAGAAACCTTCTTCTCTAACATGATGGACCATCAGAAACTTCGCTGTTTGAAATTTTATCAGTAAAAATGAAATACCCTTCTGTTGCCAGGAGGATCTAAGTTACTTTGACACATGAAGGGGTCTCGATTTGCAATTTAGGTTCAGAGCTTCAGATAAGGGGCTTCTGAACCCAACAGTCCACATTTATCTTAACTTTGTATTTTTGTAGGAAATGAAGCTGCGTCAGGATCCCTGGGTGGCGCAGCGGTTTAGCGCCTGCCTTTAGCGTTTGGCACGATCCTGGAGACCCGGGATCGAATCCCACATCGGGCTCCCGGTGCATGGAGCCTGCTTATCCCTCTGCCTAAGTCTCTGCCTCTCTCTCTCTCTCTCTCTCTCTCTGTGTGTGTGTGTGACTATCATAAATAAATAAAAATTAAAAAAAAAAAAAGGAAATGAACCTGGGTCTGCTGTGCAGTTCAGACCAGGTGTTGACTCCTGTACATACAGACCTGCTTTGCTTTGAGCCTATCAAAGTACTGCTTCGTTTACATTTTGACCTAAACTCTATTCTTCCCCCAAATCCTAGAATTCTCTCTTTTCCTGTTTGGTAAGACACCCATAGGTCCTCTAGTGTGGTCTCCTTTATCACAGTGAACTAGTAAATCTGATTTTGTCAAACTGCAGGTTTGCTCCTGATCTTAGGCTGATCAGGTCAAGGCACGGGTAATACCCTGGACATCTTTGTACTCGTCCCTCTGCTCTTACAAATGACTCCCATTTTCCACATTTGCAAGTTCTTGAGAAGTCCTTACCCCATGAAAAAAGTAGGAGCCATGTTATTATTTGAGATCTCTGCAAGGGCGAGTAACAGCCCTCCAAAGACATCCACATCCTAATCCCATAATGCCTTGTAAATGTTATCTTAATAGCAAAAGGGACTTTGCCGATGTAATTAAGGGTAAAGATCTTGAGATGGGGAGAGTATCCTGCCCCAGTATAATCACATGGGTCCTTAAAAGCAGAGAACCTTTCCTGGCTGTGGTCAGAGAGAAATGTGGCCACAGGAAGAAGGGTCAGAGACTTTGCTGGTCCTGAAGATGGAAGAAGGGCCCACAAGCCAGGGAATGTGGGCAGCCTCTAGAAGACAGAAAAGGCAAGGAAACGTTCTCCCCCAGAACCTCCAAAAAGGAATGCAGCCCTGCTCACAATCTCTTGATTCTAGCTCAGTGAAACCCATGTCAGAGTTCTGACCTAGAACTAGAAGATAAATTTGTGCTACTCTAAGCCATATTGTGGCAACTTGATACGGCAGCAAAAAACAAACAAACAAACAAACAAACAAACAAACAAACACAGGATCACTCAGAACAGTGGGTTAACGATAGAAATGAGAAATGAGCCAAGGGAGACAGAAATGAGCCAAGGGAGACACCAAATAATCGAACAGCCAGAAGGGACTAACCAAGGAGAAAGTGGTCCAGATGTAAAGTGCGCACTCCTTAAAGCGAAGGCTGAAGGCTGAGCAGACATTCAGTTGCAAGTGCATGTTCTTCCCTTGCTTCACTGTCCCTGAGAGTCTAGTGTTTGCATTTAATGAACAGCCTTTTTCACCTCAAACTATCACCATAATGATGATCAACATCATTAGGCATCAGGGAATATAAATCAAAACCATGACAGCCTACTAGGATGGCTATAATCAAAATGACAGCAAGTGTTGGCAAGGACCTGGGGAGATTGGAGCACTCATACATTGCTCGAGAGAACGTAAAATAGTGCAGCCACTTCGGAAAAGTTTAGCAATTCCTCCAAGAGTTAAACATTTGACCCAGTAATGCCACTCCTTGGTATATACCCAAGAAAAATTAAAATCTAAAAACTTGTATATGAATTTTCATAGCATTATTCATAATAGCCAAAAAGTAGAATCCACGTGTCTATCAATAGATGAATGGCTGAACAAAATGTGGTATATTCATACAATGAAATATTTAGTCATAAAAAAGAATATATTGATGCATGAAACACCATGGCTGAACCTTGAAACCCTTGAAAGGTGAAAGAAACCATTCACAAGAGGCCACATCTTTTATGATTCCATGTATATGAAATGTCCAGAATAGGCAAATCTAGAGACAGAAGGTAGATTGGTGGCTGCCTAGAGCTGGACTGGGGTGGGAGAAGTGGAGATGACAGGGGATGGGAAGTGACTGCTAGTTGGTTGGCAATTTTTCTTGAGGTGATGAAGACATTCTGGAATTGATTGTGGTGATGGTTGCACAATCCTATGGACTATACTAACCACCACTGAATTGTACACTTTAATTAGGTGAATTGTATGATATGTGAATTATATCTCAATAAAGCTGTTAAAAATTTAAGCAGGGTAAAGAAATGCTGTGCTTCTATTTCATAACAAGCATGCATTTGTCAGAAGCCAATCTCACACTCATATTCATAAAGCATAAAGGAAAACACAGGTTTGTCTTCTGGGACACTGATGCCTAAGCTTATTTGTTTTCCTGTGTGCTTGCACAACTGTCAGGGCTCAGGGCAGGAATTCTGCTCCTGGGGAATCATGGACCTGCAGGTTTCTTGCAATGGAACACTTCAATTCTATACAGCCATGCATTTTTTTTTCTCTTAACAATGAATTGTCCTTGGAGCTTGAAGTGCAGCACAAAAAATTCTCTTTCCAGCGCAGTCACTCCATTGAGATCACCTGACACCCTCTGGGGACAATATTTAGGGCAGGCCAGAGTGCTATGATGAACGAACTCTAAATGTGAGATACTGGACTATGGGGCTCCTGATTTGTTTTCTCCCTCCCTTTCATTCTTCAGTCTAGCACAAAGGTCTAAGTGCCCCATGCCATAGCAAGAGTGTTGGATGGGAAGAGAGGAAGGAACATCTTAGGGTTCAGGTTCCATTCCCTAGCTCTAGGAGCTCACACTGAGTGTCCACCCTCTCCCGAGCGACTGTACTTCTCTCATTCATGTGCAGGGCAGGGCTTGGTTGGGAATCCTGCAAACAATCCGTGCCTGGGCAAGTCAGAGGGAACAACGGAGCACACCAGAAGTCTCCCTTGTATGATACATGGAAGTCTGGGTGGGGAAGACTTCAAGAAGAAAAGCTATGGCTGTCCTCAAGTCATCCTCATCAGGAGGAGAATTCAGAGCAGACACCAAGAGATAAACCAACAACTGAATTAGCAAAAGAAGTAAAACTTCCACTTTATTGTATAAGTCCTTGAGATATAAAAGACAATAATTGCAAAGTCGAAGACTAATACCAACCATAGACATGAGAGTCAGAGGACTCTAGGGGTAAAAGGAGATAGCAAGGTGCATGAATCAGAATTTTTCCAGCTTTAGAAAGTTAGACAGCCCAGATCATGGCCAGAACATCCTAGTACCAGTTACAGATTCTTTACAAAGATGTTTACCTGTGGTAAAGAGAAAAACCAAAAGTTAACTTTCACATTTTCAGCGGACTCTACAATAGTCCACCCACACTGCGTATGCAGTCATGTCCACGAGGTTTTGTGAGTTAGGGAAAAGAGGCAAGGGGAGGAAATGACCTGCACAGGGTAGATGGTATCAAGTGGCGGAGCTGGGAAGAGAATCCAAAAATTACATTTCCCCAGTTCAAAAACACCTTTGAGGAGGAAGTTAGCTGGGAAGTCAATTATTTAACAATTATTAGCCCCAAATGCTTCAGAAAAGAGGGATTCTATTTGTAACTTGTACAAGGTCCCGCAGGCTTTGGAGTATGAAATGCAATTTAAAGCACAAAGCACAAGACCCGTTATATTGAAGTCTGAAGCAAAGATAAAAGTGTGATAAAGGAAAATCACTAGAAGCAGGAGTTAAGGTGCTCCCCACCTTTTTCATGAGTTCTTCTTGTTTGGTTACTTCTTCAGAAAAATCATCATTGACATCCAATACCAGCACTGGAATGTTCAGCAGAGCCTCAAAATGGAGCCTGTAAGAAGTATGAACATTCAGGGGACAGAAAAAGGAAAGCTGAACCAACCTTCACACACTCACCACATCTTAATAATCCCAAGAACAGATCTAAAGTCACATGGCTTCTCAATGAAACTGCATGTAAATAACAGTTTAAAAAGAAGAATTTAATAAAGTTGGCTGCAAAGAGGAAGGTTGAAATTTTTTTAGTCTTGAGATGGATACTGAAGGTCAGAGTCCCAAATATTTAAGCCCCAAATATACCAAGCCTGAAAGGAGGAAAGGCCAAAACTAGGACTGACAACTTAGTAAAATGGACAATTTCTCTAAAATTTTTCAGCCCTTCACCCTGAGTCAACTATATCACCATCATCAATTACAATGTTCAATCTAGGGAAACGTTAAAAAACAAAAAGCTGGAGAAACAATCTAATAAAAAGTCTCTTAGAATATACAGATTATATCTAATATTAAGTTTCTCAGTTGGATTTCTAACCACTTGGGTACATTCTGAACCTTCCTATGGGGCTGCCTATTGGACTCATGTCTGAGCAACTGGCTGTAGGGAGGCAGGTGTCTGTGGTACTATCTTCTCCACTTACTCAGTTGTCTTGTGAACAAGCCAGGCTTCGTGTTGATCGTGAAGCTGCTCGAGATACGTCAGCTCAACTCCTTTCTCCTCTTCCCTGGCCCTCTGGTATAGTCTCTTCAAACAAACCTAAAAGACAATGCCTGGGCTACAATGGGCTCATGTGTTACCCTGGCTGTGATGATGTAATTCTCAGGGGCTCTCAGACCCTCTCATGATGTCTAACCTGGGAATGATAAGCCACGACTTTGCTTCTACTATCTTGTTTTCTTATTCAGTCACAGGTTAATGGCAAACTTCATCCACCCTGGGAAGCTATAATTACTCTACCTTTTCCTCCTCCAAATCCCATCCAGGAAGTCACTAAATCCCCTTTAATCTCTCTCACCTCTGCCTTAGTCAGGTCCTCATCACCTTTCACCTAGACCATGGCAAGAGCCTTCTGGCCCTCCTTCTGCTTTCTGAGGGTGGTGAAGAGAATGGGAAGAGCACAGGCCTTAAAGCTAGAAAATCCATGATTCAATTCCTGTCTTCACCATGCATGCAGTAGAGGTGCCATCATTACAGGCTTCCCTTTCCTCCACTCCACTCACCCCACGGGGAGCTGTGAGGACTCACCAAGTTAAGGTGTGTCAAATTCCTGGCCATAGCTGCTCTCTCTTCCCAGTGAACCTCCTCCACCCACTCTTCATAGTGATGCAAGAGAAAGGCAGTACTCTCCTTGCTGCAAACACCTCACAGGTTCCTTACTGCCTGTAGCCATAAAGCCCCAGGTTCAAGGAAGTATGAGGAGCATCCAAATTACAAAATAGATAAGTAATCTGAAACATGTCTTTCATATCCTGTCACTCACTGACTCTGGAGCAGAATGCAAACTCTGCACAGGTCAAAGATAAAACAAAGAACTTAAAAAAAAAAAAGAGCTTTAAGACTAACTCTCCTTTGCTCCCCCTTTCCAGAGAGTGCACCATTCCATTCTGCCTTCATCTGGTAGTAAAATCTGAAGCACACTGGCTCAGAGAATGTCGTCTTCTCCTTTACCTGTCACATAAGGCCATCCTGGATTCTGGCCACCCCTCCTAGCCCTCTACCCTCAAATTCCTTAGCACCTCTCTGGAGTCAGTGGTAGCCAGATTGGACCCAAGGGATAGGCCAAGCTCTTTACCACCTTGAGACTTTTGCTCCAAATGTTTGTTTTGTCTGATTACTTCCCTTCCTCTCTTCACCTGGCAAACATTTCATCATTCAATGTCATCTGTCCTGGGAAGAAAAGGTGGATTAACCACTGACCTAGGACTATCCACTTTCAAACACTAAAAAACTTTATTCCCAAATGTAAACTTCCCAAATGAAGTGCGTAATATTCCTGAAGATGCAGAGTCCTTGCTGTGTACCCCACTTTTCCTCTAAAGATACGAAGTCATGTAAACAAATTTCATTTATGAGCTTATGTCCAACTTTTCAGATTAACAGAGACAGATCTAATAGGTTAATACTTTTAGCACTTACTCCTCAATAATCTTTTCCCCTAATCAATTATCATCCCAAACTTAGATGAAGTCTTTGTCCTTGGAATTTTATAACTTAGTTAGATAATAAGTAAAGTGATACACAAAACAAGTGCTAAACTGTGAGGTCTGGACCTTCAGCATAGCAGTTCAGATAAGGGAGGGAGCCCTGGGCCCCAGCAGTCAGAGAGGTATTCCCCGGAGGAGGCAGGGGCTCCCCCTTTATCTCTGGTACCAGCTCTGGAGCACACAGTAGGTCCTGGGGAAACACAGGCCACTGGTGGCATTTCCATTGTATTAGGCAACAGAGGGTGTGCAGAGGGGGCACAGTGGCTGAGAGCCACAGTCTGTCTTTTTCAGGGCTGAGCGCTAGGCTGGCAGAGCCAGTGGTCAGTATTCACAGTTTGCAGTTATGACCTCATCCCCCAGCTATATTTACCTTTTTTTCCCCTGCTTTCATCTTTTCTTTTTCTACCTTCCTTTACCATGAACCTCCTTTTTCTTTTCCACTCTCTTTCTGCCCTACACCCTACCCTTACTTCTGATGCCTTCAAAACATTTCTCATTGTTTGCCTCCATTCCTCATTACACAGCTCTATAGCCCCGACTTCCAGCGGTCCAGTTCTCTGTCCCACTCACAACTGATGGTAACTTTTGGTACGTTTTCAGAAATAATTCATGCATATACACCTTCTTACCACCACCTTTCAAAAAAAACACCATAATTGTAAAAAGCATCCCACACACTGTGCCAGCTTCTCTTCACTTAACAATGCCTTGGAGACTGTGATATTAGTATAGTGTTTTCCCATTTTTGTGGCTTCAAAGTCTTCCAGTGAATGGACAGAGCATAATACATTCAACCAGTCTCTACTCGTGAGCACTTGGGTTGTTTCCAATGATCTGCTATTACAAACAAGGTGGCTTGCACAGGGGCCACTATGCCTGTGTGGGAGCACAGTTATGGAGTAAATTCCAAGGAGTATGATTAATAGGTAAACTCCTATTTTGAGCATTTGGTAAGATTCTTGTTTCACTGGTATGGTTACAACAAATTCTTTTTTAAAAAGTTCTGTGCAGGGGATCCCTGGGTGGCGCAGCGGTTTGGCGCCTGCCTTTGGCCCAGGGTGCGATCCTGGAGACCCGGGATCGAATCCCATGTCGGGCTCCCGGTGCATGGAGCCTGCTTCTCCCTCTGCCTATGTCTCTGCCTCTCTCTCTCTCTCTATCATAAATAAATAAAAATTAAAAAAAAAAGTTCTGTGCAAGCAGTGCTTTAGTCCTGTGTCTCCTGACATCAGTCGTCCAGGGGAGCTCGCCTGAATGTAAGAAAGTGTGGTTGTGAACAGCAAGGGGAGCCCATCCTGGTGACCTGCTCCCTTCACCAACTGCCCTAGGAAGAGTGGCTGCTTGGACAGCAATTGGACTATGACTCTGCTAGGGCATCTGGCCACCGTGCTTCCCAAAACTAAACCCAAGTGCCCTCTGAGCCAGGCATTTCCAACACACTGTCCCCATGCTGCCAACAGTCCCTGGCAAGGCCTGGCTGGCTGCACCAAACTCCTGATTCCATAGTAGGGTTGGGACACTGAGGCCCAGATATTTCTCTTTTGACTAATTTTTTTGTTGGCTTGCTTGTTATTTAGAACTTAGGGAAGAGCAGATAGAAAGGAGCAAAATGCCCCAACTAGGTCCATCTCACAAGCTCTAACCTCAGTATTTCCCACAGTTCTGTAGTAGAGTATGGGGCAATTGCATGGCTTTTCACACAGAGATGTGTTCACTTCTGTTCTGCTCTTCCCTTGGATATAGTCACCTCTGAATCTCACAGGAGGGATCAGGGGTGATTCTGGGGAAGGATTCCCGGGTCTCTGGCTCTAAAACCATCAAAAAACCACCAAAATCTCCATCCAGTTTTTTTTTTGTTTTTTTTGTTTTTGTTTTTGTTTTTTTTTTTTTACTTATGATAGTCACAGAGAGAGAGAGGCAGAGACACAGGCAGAGGGAGAAGCAGGTTCCATGCACCGGAAGCCCGATGTGGGATTCGATCCCGGGTCTCCAGGATCGCGCCCTGGGCCAAAGACAGGCGCCAAACCGCTGCGCCACCCAGGGATCCCTCCATCCAGTCTTAAAGCTTTGCTTTTTCTATGACTAAATTATAAGAATCCTTCAAACCCCCTCATTCTACCCCAGATGAAAGATCTCAGTCAGTCTCTCCATAAAGATCTATTGGTCACAGCATCACTGTCATCATGATTACCACCACTGTTGTCATCACCACTGTCCCCTTCTCACGGTCATTCCAAGCGCACAAAGGAATGAAGACTTTCTTGCTGGCCTTCTTCTGCAAGCCCATGGAATGGGCTCTCCCCACTATTTTCTGACCCTGCTCAGTTTGCTCTCAGGCCTGCTCCATCCACAAGGCTCAGTCCATCTCCAAAAAGTATGGCCTCTAGTCAGAAGGGAGCATACCTCCTAAAATTATGCAGTATACCTGACATGTGACCACACACGACACATATCTGAAAGCCGAGAGCGACACATCTCTCAAAAAATACTTCCAGCCTTGACTCAGAATCCCACTCCAGAAGAGCCCTTAGAGACCACTAGTCTGAACCACTGGGTCTGACAGACAAGAACCCTTCCAGGGGAAAAGTTTCTAAGGGCTGTCCACGGTCTGAAATCCGAGACTTCGGTGTTCCTTCCATGACATCACCCTAATGCATGAGAGGCTGGCTCCAGCATCCAAATCAGAAAGACACAGAATGTAACTTCTGTAGCCCATTCTGACTTACCAGTGGCACCCTTAAGGTTCAAAAGGCAGCTATAAATTATGATAGTATCAGGGTGAGGTGAGGAAACTCTCCACCTCCTCCTGGCATCCTATTCAGGAAACCATCAAGACCACCAGACTCCAATGACCCAGTTTGAGGGAAGGGAGAGCTGAGCAGTTGGCTATAGGTGACCTAGCCAGAGGAGCCAATCTGCAAACTCTGGCTGGCAAAGGCAATGCCCCATTTTCTCTACGTTGGTGTTACATGGAGAAGAACCCTTTCTATAAGTCATCTGCTGCAGAAAGCTTGTAGGAAATGGGGTGCTCGATGCCAGAACAGGAGACTGTTGACCCACACTGTTCTCCATGCTCCAGATAATACCCACAATCTAACTTCTCAAAAAAATTTCTTCAGAAAATCGGGTATTGGAGAATGTCACCTCTTAGGTTTCATATAGCCCTGAAGATTAAGGCCTGACATTCCGTTCCGCATTACCTGGGGAGTAGCTTGGAGGTAGATGAACCCATGTAATCTGAGCTGGCTGGCAAACTTCTGCAGGAGAAAAGAATGCCAGTCTTGATAGATATGCCATTCGATGTCACTGATGGAACCATTTTCAAAAAGATTCTTCGCAAAGATATACCTGGTTGGAAATATAGGTGGCATTGGGAGAGGGGAGAAGAATGGGAAATGGAGTGAAAGGCAAAGGGAGAGATGCAGAAAAATCAATACTCAACTTGTTCCATGTCTATTCAAGCCACCTAACCTTTCTAGCTCATCAATCTTTAAGAAATTTGAATTCTTAACCTGTATCGCCTTCCTTGTTCGACAATAAGATGGGAAATAGCATGTTGACTTTGGAAGCCAAAAATCCCAGCTCTCCGACTGCATTAATCCCCTGAAGAAAAGGCACTAGAAAAGATTATCATTGGTCACCAGTGATTCTCCCTGCTGCAGAACAGCCAGAAAATATGGCATACGGTTCATGAAAACTCACACTTTAGAGATTTATTATTGCAGCTAGTCCCCAAACAAAAAAACAATTCAGGGCTTGTGAGGGCTTCCAAGTCTACAGGCTGCTGAGCCATCCTCGGGTGTGGTTAGTAAGTGGAGAAGGAAATGTACTGAAGTGGTGTCACCTATTGAGTAGGAGATGCATTTCTCATTAACTACAGTATTATCAAGCAAGCAGACCCTCCCCCAAAGCACAATGAGCCCTTACTCACTTGCTTCCTTTGCTGCTGAGCTTCTAATCCAGGTACAAGAAAGCTAAATCTAAAAATCAAACTAGCTTGCCCCTTGCTTACTTCTACAACTAAAGGAGCATCTGGTAAATAGGAAATTGGAGCTAACAAGAAACCACTGCTTCAGAAGGGTCAATTCTACTTTCAAACCTCAGGCATCTTGATACAAAACACAATTTACATCCTAAACAATGAACTCCAGTTTCTAAGGTAACACTTAGCAACTGGCCACTTCTGGGAAAATGAAATTCAGAATCCTTGTGTAGGAATGGCCCAAGAAATATATACCACAAGGCTATAAGTCTTGTGATTAAGAGAATGGGCTGCACCATCACATTCCTGAGTGTGAGCTTGGCCCCAAAACTCACAGACAGTGTTGCCATGGCCAAGTCATCAAATGCCTTCAGCTTCATTTCTTCTTTTGTACAAAGACATAAGGGTAGAACCTGACTCATAGGATTGTTTTGAGTATTGATGTAGTACTTATAAGGTGCTTGGAAGACTGGTACAAAGTATGCAAGACATCTTTGTTGTTACTATACCTGCTTCTTTGCTAGGCTGTGAGGAATTAATCTGGGAGCTCCCAAAGTCAACTTTCTCAGTCTGGAATGGTTTAGCTATAGTCTAGCTGAAGGCAACAAAGAGATGACTTTTGTAATTCAATTCTGAAAAATACTTTCAGCTTCTTCACAGGAAACTTAGAAGGTAAAATATTATTAAAAGAGAAATAAGGGCAGCCCGGGTGGCTCAGTGGTTTAGCGCCACCATCGGCCCAGGGCCTGATCCTGGAGACCCCGGATGGAGTCCCACGTTGGGCTCCCTGCATGGAGCCTGCTTCTCCCTCTGCCTGTGTCTCTGCCTCTCTCTCTCTTTCATGAATAAATAAATTAAATCTTAAAAAAAAGAGAGAGAGGAAATGAATTATCTGTTAATGAGCCCTCCCTTTCTTAAAGAGGAACACCTCTCGATTTTCCACAGCCAGTGGTGATGTGGAGGGAGAGAGTTGGGGTGCAAAGGACTAAGGAGAGGGAAGTACTATAGTCATCATGCAGGTGACATAGAGAGTGAGTATAAGGATCTAGGCATCAGGGTCCTTGTTCTAGAACCACATACTACTGTTTCTTTTAACTCAAACAGAAAAGATTTAGATGTCTTCCTCCCAGTCATCCACTCTCCCAAACAACAAATGTATTCCTCCTTTGGGACACATATCACACATATGAGGACATGCGGGGTCCCAGAGAGTTGCCTGAAGGCAGGTTCTGGGTCTGCCTTGCTTGCTGCTACAGCCCCAGGTTCTAGCCTGGTATCTGAACATGCAGGGATTTAATAAATCTGTGCTAAGCAAAGGAGTGAATGAATGAATTTTTTAAAGGGAAAGGATCTAAGTTATCTTCACAATTAGAATATATGATGAATTATTCTATCTCAAAAATGCCCCCTTCTAAAGAAAACTTTATTTATTTATTTATTTATTTATTTACAAAGATTTATTTATTTATTCAGAGAGAGCGAAAGAGAGGCAGAGACACAGGCAGAGAGAAAAGCAGGCTCCATGCAGGGAGCCCAACGTGGGACTCGATCCTGGGTCTCCAGGATCACACCCCGGGCTGCAGGCGGCGCTAAACACTGCGCCACCGGGGCTGCCCTAAAGAAAACATTTAGAATGTGTAGTTGCCAATAGCAAAATCAGTTCTCATCTCTATCCTTTACAAGAAAATGTTAAGATCTTATAGCTTCTAAACAAAGTCTTTCTTTTTCTGAGGGGTCTCTCACATGCCTACTTCACTAAAGGGCTGGAAATAAAAAAATCCACGGTGAATAAGTTTCCAAGCAACCAGGATTGTTATATGTAATTCATCTTCCTAGTCCAGGAGGCATGGCTTGGGAAAGTGGAGAGAAAAATATGTAGTAATATACCCAACAGCTATAAAAGAACCAAAACCTATAGCCCAATTACTGTAATTCACATATTTAGCTTTTATAAAGAGTGAGCTCTCTCGGGGTAGAGAAGGAAGATGTAGCCCATAGGATTTGTTCTATATATTTTGCATGATTTTGAGATTAAAAAATTACACAGGGGCAGCCCAGGTAGCTCAGCAGTTTAGCGCCGCCTTCAGCCCAGGGTGTGATCCTGGAGTCCTGGGATTCAATCCCACGTCAGGCTCCCTGCATGGAGCCTGCTTCTCCCTCTGCCTGTGTCTCTGCCTCTCTCTCTCTCTCTGTCTCTCATGAATAAATAAAATCTTTAAAAAAATTACACAACACTTATTTTTTCCCTCTAGGAGGTTTTATGGGAACATTAAGACGGAGAACTAGTTTGTTTAGTTTGGAAACAAATGCGTAACCAACTTTTAGCATCTTTAGATGTAAATGGACAATGAAAATGCAGCATTTTTCAAAGTACAATTATCAATACCCACAGCAGAGCAAGAAGGGAAAACATGCAGTGCTGAGCACGGAGCCTGTAACCAGTGAAGGGCTCAGGGTCTTACCTGTCACTGTACACGGACCTCTCAAAGATCTGTACCGCCTTCCTTGCCTGTAACAGTTTCTCAGGGAAGGGCTCCAGCTGTACTTTCAGGCGGCTCATAAAAGAAAATGTCTGGAATGTGTAGGACCATCGTGCTGGTTCCTGGTACATCATATCTAGCAAGTTTCCAAGACTTTGGGCAGTGAAGGCCTAGAGGGAAATTGCAAAAAAGGAGAATTTCCTAGAAGGTGTATTTATCTCATAGTGTTTCCTCTCCATCTCCATGGTTTAATAATCAATGAGGGAAGCAATTACAAACATTTCCTTCTACTAAAAAAACATAATCCTATCCCCTAGTTTCATCAAAGCTATATAATCAAAAAAGAGATTTTCCTACCTGATGAACTGAGAATTTGAGAGGGAGAAGACATGCCACCTTCAACAAACCAGAGAAGAGCAGAGGAAGAAACACACAGAGAATCAGGACATTCACTGTTTGTGGAGTCGGTCTGACAAGGAGTTAACCAACAACTATCTAAGACTACTTGGAATTAAATCTTTCCATTGTAACACTATGTCCCCTCTCTTTTGAGCTTCCATCTGTGGCTGTTTCTTTATAAAACTTCAACCCAGACAAGAAAGCAATGGGATTTTTTTTTTTGAAAATCCAACTAAACCAAATAGATCTCTCTCTCTCTCTCCTACCGAAGGGATTAAAACAAATAAAACCTTCCTCCACCATTCTGGAGACTTTATGAAATGTACCTTGAAGACCAGCATGTGCAGGTGGGATGATGTGTGAGATATCAAGAGCCTTGAATTCTTTCCTGGGCTCTGCCACTGACTCAGGACAAAAGTGAATTTTGTACAAAGTACTTTGGATCTGAATTCATGCAGTCACATCAACTGAAGGCCTACATGGATGAGGTGTAACAAAGGGTCAACACTGTCAGGGGTACAGAAAACAAAACTAAGATTTATTTTCAGTGTTCACATGCTATTATGTCATTTAACCTTCAAAACAGCTTCATGAAGAGGGCACTACTGTTATGCTCATTTTCTTAAGGGGCAAATTCACTCAGAAAGGTCAAGTAACTTACTTATCCAAGGTTTCAAGTTAAGTGTAGAACAGAGACTCAAACCTGGCTTCCCCTAACTTCATTCTAATGCTTCTCCATATAAAGACAAGCTGGGAAGTAAATGATACATGGAATTTCCACTGACAGAAATGGGGACAAGTGCATTTGGAGTGGAGAAAAAGAGGAAAGGGAAAAGGTTAAGACAACCACAAGTGGTCCAATTTGGCTAAGTATCAACCACAGATTCCAAAGAAAGATCCCAGCTCTTTGAAAGGCTTCATGGGAGCAATGTAGATAGAGCAGAATGGATCACATGTTTTTCTTCCTTCCAATCCTCCAACCCTCAAACACGCAGCAGTCTCACAAATGGCCCCTGGTTAAGAGCTGGAAGTAGAAGCAGGAGAACGAATGTGAATCCACTTGGGTGTCTGTCTAATGGTGTCACTAGAAACTGTAGGGAGCCCTTGGGGTGCAGCATAGTTATGAGACTGCATGAAAGCCCACTGAATGGAGTGTATACAGATGTACTAGGTTGACCGGGTGGGAGCTATTCCATCAGCAGCCTTTGGGCTACCAAAGAGAGACTGTTCTGTAACAAAAAACTGTACAGGGCAAACAATTTCTGAAAGAACCCATCTCAGCTACAGAACAAATGCAAACATCCTTTCAAACATATAAACAAAGAGAGGGACCATAACCGGATATAGTAATATTCAGCAATTCAAAGGGAGAAAACTAATGTGTATGCTCAGGACAAGCAGCCCCTTAGGAGACAGAGCTGTTGCCAGAAACAAAAGAAAACAGAAAAATCTCAATGAGATTCAAGAGATTGCCACACTGATAAGAACAGGCTGTCATAAAAACAATAATATAAAAAGAACATTCTTAGAGGAGAAAAATGCAATTGCCAAAACAAAGCACCCTATGAAGATAGTAGCTAGCAGACTATATACTGCAGTAAACCTAATTAGTGAATATTATACAGAATATAAGCTTGAGACATTTTCCTTAAACTAAGAGAAAAAAAATACCCAGAAAATTATGACAGAAATGAAGACACATAGGTTAGAAGGAGGAGGAGATCTGACACTGTGATATTGTTCTAGGGTATTTTTTGCCTTTCCTTTCTTTCCTCTGGAAAGATATATCAGGATGTAATGTCACTTGTGTTCCACCCCACAGTAATGAATTTTGTTTGAATTGTTTGAATTTTTCAAACAACTTTCCAAACAAGAGTTAAAATGATCCACAACTCTATAGTACCTATAGCTCAGACAAAGCTACCTAAAGAAATGAATATAGAGAAGGGAAATGCCACCCCCAACAAAGAGATAGGCAAAAGAAGACCATTATTCATAAGGTATGTGTCTCTCTTACCAAATTTCATCATCACTGAGAATCATTAATAGAACCATGTAGTATCTAGGTATTTAAGAACAAAGTTTAAAACCATGGTACAAAAAAAAATAAATAAATAAAACCATGGTACAACTAGAAGTTATAGTAAGAAGGAACTGATCTCATACAAGAGCTAAAGCCAAAGAAAAAAATTAAAGAAAATCTGAGACGTGACACTTTCCACTAGAGAAATTCAGAGTACCAGAAAAGATTTCATATATATTTACTTATACAGCTTTCATAAACACACACACACACACACACACACACACACATGCACAAGAACCTACAATAGGACCTATCCTGCCAAAATGCTGACAATTCATAAAAATAAAACAAAAACCTAATGGTGGAGGAAATCACATGAATTACTTATTTAAAAAAAAAAGGACTGAAACCATATAATACTTCTCTACAACAGAAACTACCTTTTATATTCCAGAGCAAAAGGAAGACATTTTTAGACAAGCAATCACTGAGAAATTATACCACCCACATACCATTTCTGAAAAAATTCTCTATATTTCAACCAACTGAAAAATTAAGAAATGGGAAGATGTGGTAGTAAGAAAACACTGGTCAGTGATCAACCAGTAGAAAAGAGTTAAGCGTAATAACTAAAGAACTATTATTTACATGGCTATGAAATTGAATGTCGCATTTCTATTGTTAAAAAAGAAATTTCACAATGTAAAAACATTCTGGATCTACAAAATTTCAGATAATTTCAATATACCTGACAAGGTAATAAAAAAGTAGAGTTCTGTTTCGGCTTCTTTTTCACAGAGACTCCAATAACACTGAAAGATAGGTTTAAACGTGTACATTTTTGTAAAATTTTTATTTATTTACGATAGTCACACACACAGAGAGAGAGAGAGAGAGAGAGAGAGAGAGAGAGAGAGAGGCAGAGACATAGGCAGAGGGAGAAGCAGGCTCCATGCACTGGGAGCCCGACGTGGGATTCGATCCCGGGTATCCAGGATCGCGCCCTGGGCCAAAGGCAGGCGCCAAACCACTGCGCCACCCAGGGATCCCCTAAACGTGTACATTTTTAATTTACGTGTTTCTGTTGTTAGGATAAAAATAGTAAGTTTCTCATATGAATAAAGAGGAGAAAAAGGAAAGAAAATAAATATAACAAAAAGGGGAAAAAGGAGATGAAAGCACAAAGTAAGGTGACAGAAATAAATTAAACATAAAAAAAGACAAATTCCAGAAAAAGCAAACCCTAACACTGGACAGAAACTAAAAATCCTGTAAAAAAAAAAATACCTATAACAAGATGACATGCATTGGTACAGGACAAAGGGACAGGAAATCCACAAAATAGATGCAAATAAAAAGAAAGCAGATGTGGCAAAATTGTATTTAAAAAAAATTAAATGCTCCAAGAGGGTTTTTTATACTAATAAACCAATAAAGACTACACAAAGGAATCATGAATCTTTTTTTTAATCATGAATCTTTTTACATGCAATTAATAGAAATATAAGAGCAGAGCTAATTTGAAAATACAAGGAGAAATGGATAAAAGTATAAAACTTTAACACATTTTTCTCAGAATTTAAAAAGTAGACCCCAAAAATGAGAGCTTATTTTAAATTGTTACCATTAAATCATTATTATTTTTCACATACCTGGAATTGAGGTACATCTTACAAGGTTTACGTTATACTTAACTTTTTTTTTTAAGATTTTATTCATTTATTCATGAGAGACACAGAGAGAGGGGGAAGGAGACATAGGCAGAGGAAGAAGCAGGCTCCATGCAGGAAGCCCAATGCGGGACTCAATCCCAGGACTCCAGGATCACACCCTGAGCTAAAAGCAGATGCTCAACTGCTGAGCCACCCAGGTGTCCCCTTAACAGACGTTTTAATAATTCCTTAGAAGTATTATTAAATTGATTATGTATCTTACAATCAATGGCATCTTAGAATTTATAATATATGTCACATCAAACTCCATACCTTAGAGATAATACATCCTTCTTAAAAGTCCATGGTACATTTACCAAATTGATCATACCTAAAAATCAATAATACATAAGCCATGAAGAAGACCTCAGCAAGTTCCCCCAATTAGAAACTGTATAAGCCCTATTGTCTGACCATAACAAAATAAAATTACAGTAAAAAAAGAATGCACACACAATATCTACTCAGAAAATGTAAAATACCTTAAAAATATTTCTAGGGCAAAGAATAAATCAAAACTACAATTATAAACTCTTTAGAAATTTTTTCTTTTTTTGTTTTTTTTTAAGATTTCATCTATTCATTTGTGTGTGTGAGAGAGAGAGAGAGAGAGAGAAAGAGAGCACAAGCAGTGGGGGCAGTAGGCAGAGAAAGAAGCAGACTCCCCGCTGATGAAGGAGCCCAATGCAGAACTCTACCCAGGACCCCAGGACCATGACCGGAGCCGAAGGCAGACACTCAATTGACTGAGCCACCCAGGTGTACCTCTTCGGAAATTTCAGTTAAAAATCTTGTATAAACCTTGTATATCGGGATCCCTGGGTGGCGCAGTGGTTTAGCGCCTGCCTTTGGCCCAGGGCGCGATCCTGGAGACCCGGGATCGAATCCCACGTCAGGCTCCCGGTGCATGGAGCCTGCTTCTCCCTCTGCCTATGTCTCTGCCTCTCTCTCTCTCTCTGTGTGACTATCATACATAAATAAAAATTAAAAAAAAAAAAACCTTGTATATCAAACTCTAGAAGACAAGGCCAAA